ACTCAGAAAGCTGAGATCTAAGAATCGCAGTTCAAAGCCAGGCCGGGCAGGAAAGTCTATGAGACTCTTATCTCCAGAAAACCAGAAGTGGTGCTATGACTCAAAGTGGTAGAGTGCTAACCTTAAGCAAAAAAGCTCAGGAACAGTGCCCAGGCCCTGGGTTCAAGCCTTATGACTGAGGATGACAATAACAACAACAAAGTCAATATTTCCCTCACGTGAATAAAAAAAGATGGCACAGTTCCATCTTTATGGGACACAATGACCTTGCCAGAGTTCCTCATGATTCCATGTGTCTCTGTGCCTTGATTTCCCCAGCTGTGAGAAAACAATGATAATAGCACAGCTCGGAGACACGGGGTGATGCGGGGCATAATAAGCACTCCTCAGGCCTTTGTGATCTTTACATGGAGACAGCCTGCTATTATGATGAAGCCTTAACCAACACCTTCTCCGAGCCAGGCAGGACTGGACTATTTCAGGAGCTGAAATTTGGGCAAAAACAAAAATGGAATGCTTGATTCACTGCTTTGCTTCAGAAACTTTTACAGAAAAATATACATTTTGATAGGATGTAACTTGTTGCTTTAATCATATTAACTCTGAGAGAAAGAAAGGGAAAAGCTTAAACTGCTTCATCTGGTGTTTCTGTTACAGTTTAGGAAGCAAGATCCACCGAAGATCATAGAGACCAGAGCTAGACACCAGGACCAAGGAATCTGAGTTTACATACTTCATTCAAGAACTCTAGGCCTCTAGGCCTGATGAGACTTTCCTAAAAGCTGCTGGAATTGTTAAGAAACAAAACAAAACAGAAAAAAAAAGGATGGTCATATATAAATCACAAAAGCAGCATTGTACACAGCTCCAGTTCACCCAGGGCCTCAATGGTGGCCTTGTTTGCATTAAAATAACATCAACCCATTGGGGAGATGCCAGGGGTAAAATTAACTCTCTATAAAAAGAGTCTATGCTGATATTTCCGCTCAAGTCCAATGTTGCCTATGGACATTTCCTCCCTGCTCTATGGATAACTAGAACAGAAATTCAAACCCTTTAAGGCAAGAACCAAACAGTCATTCACATCCGAGCAGGAGGAAGTCCTCAGTACTGAGCAGCATTTGGTGCTGTTCGGACTCCAAGCCTGCAGTGCCTCAGGCATTGGGGTGTGTCACCAGTGACCTGGCCTTTCTTTGTTACGTGTGTCCTCCCGTGCTGCATGGAATGGTGTCCTGGGCTGGGACTGAGGAACAAGTGAGGTGAGCTGACCAGTCAACCTGTTGCTTTAGGAGCACTTTGAAGGCCAGCTGTGATGGTTTGGGGCACAGGATCCCTAACAGAGAGGAAGAAACACCACTGTCCAAGCACAACAGCTGCATTTGCTGGAAACTTACACATACTCACATTCAGAAAAGGCATCTAGAACCAGTAGTGATCCTGCAGCTCAGGTCAAGCCCATCTCCTGTAGACCATTGCCCAAGGGACCAAGTTTGTGAACCCACCCTACCACCGCCCCACAGCGGCTCAAGACCAGCCACCTGGGCTGGTGAAAACTGAGCCTGCACTTCCCTGTACCATCTGAAGGTGGCGCAGTCAGAACAGGACTCTAGTTTGCATTTTCAAAAGCTCACTAGGTGAGCCTTGAGTAGTACCAACAGGGAGAGCCATTTCACTCAATGCTATATATATGGATCCAAGAATCTCAACTACCAATGGGATGCTTCTTTTCCAGAAAAGCACAGAACCTGAAGAACAGCCCACAACCTTCCCCAGCCCGTTGGGATCCACCACTGTGATCAAGTCTTGCTTCAGTCACAGATAGAGACAGGATTTCTTTTTTCATGCAGATCAAATCAAGAAACAAACGCTAACCAACACAGATTTATTTCTAGGTACCTGACCAAAACCAAGAGCAAAGCCAACACTCTGAGCAACATGTAGCTGCTTCTCAGGGACTTCTCAGGGCGCATTTTCAGCACTCTGCAGAGAGAGGCTCAGTATGCATCCGGCTGGGATGAGCTAAGCCAGAACAGTACTTCCTGTCCCTCACCTTCGGAGATGTCCAAGGTTCCTATTGTAGAAGCAGGTCTGCTATTGCAGGGAGCCAGGTCTTGGCAGAGGCCCAACTTCACTGAGAAAGGAAGCAGAACCTTGCTTGTATTCAAGTAAGGTGGGGAAATGCTCAGTGCACTCCCCAGTTGTGTCAGAAACTGTCTTTCAAAATCAATTAAACTTCTTTGCCGAGGTAAATATTTCCATAAGAAAACAGGATTGCTGTTTTCTACCCCATAGCAAATAGGAATCAAAGCAATGATTAAATATGAAGCTGCAAAGGAAAGGGGAATCAGGGCTCAGAATTCTAGCAGAGAGTAGACATGTCACACTTGAGTCTCACTCACTTCACTGTGGCCCCCTGGGAAGGGGAGAAGCCTCCTTGTCTGGGTGGGGAAGTCGAGCCAGAGGTCTTTTTGCAGGCTCCCGCAAGGGTGAGTCTAAGCTAAGGACTAGGTACAGAAGTCTACTTAAAGGGTAGCCCAGAGTACAGAAGAGTCAAGAAGGGCAGAGGGACTCTGAGAGATCTGGAGAAGATTACTGTGGGCAGCCACAACTTGATTCCAGGGGCCTCCATGAACAGTGAGACCTGCACCTTGCCACTGTGTCCACAGGGTAAGGAAGAGGGTCGCATCCTCCAGACTCCAACCTCACTGGTGTGGGCTGTCCTAAAGGGACACAAGCCAGCGCCTGCAGGCTGGCCTGCACGCCACCTCTCATCGCTCCCATAAATGCAAGCTTCCCTTGGAATCAAGATGTTATAGACTTTTTTTTTTCCATGTCTTATCTACCAACCCCAAATTTTACCACTGCCTAAAATGAGAAAGACTTTCTTCTGAGACATTCACTGAATCTCCTTCACCAGCAAGGCAACTACCTCCAAAGGAAAAACAGATCCATGTCCGCTTTGCTTCAAGACAAGTATTGATTGTGGAAGAGGCATCTGGCACTCAGGCAAGGGGATGAAGTGCCAAACCTGGGCCGAAGAGATGTAAGGTCCTACGCTTCCTTCCTGTGAGAATGTAAACTCCAGGGAACACGGCTTGCTAGGAGGCCAGGAAGAAGGGCAGGCAGCTCACACCCGGCTCCCTGTCCAGGAGAGGCATGGGCAGACATCTGTGCTGCTTCTCTGTGGCTCCCCACCACCTGGCTCCCTCAGCATGGTGAACACAAGATGCCAGGAGGCCTTGGGCAGTGCCAAGGTTCAGACCCTCCCAGCCAATGCCGCTGAGGAGTGTAGAGCCATGATCTAACAGACGCAGGACCACCCGCCTCTTGAGTCCGCTCCCTTTCAAAAAGAGTGAACATAGTTACCTCACCCGCACGATCCTTGTTATCTTTTTTAAAAAAGGGAATTCTGTCAGGTGCCAGTGGCTCACACCTGGAATCCTGGCTACTTAGGAGACTGAGATCCGAGGATCGTAGTTCAAAGCCAGACTGGGCAGAAAAGTCCACGAGACATTTATCTCCAATTAACCAGCAAAAAGCTAGAAGTGGAACTGTGACTCAAGTGGTAGAGTGCTAGTCTTGAGTAAAAAAGCTGAAGGACAGTGGCCCTGAGTTCAAGCCCCAGTACTAATACAAAAAGGGGGGGGGGCAGGTCGCCTCTTTTGCTGCTTTCTATGGAAATTCATTCCTGAAAGAATCCAAAGTATTAGAGACAGTAATTTCTTATTATGATAAATGCATAGAGGTACAACACATGTGGTACATGTGGCCTCAAGAAACATTCAGGCTCAGGGGCTGGGAAGGTGGCTCAGTGGTAGAGCGCTTGCCTTGCATGCCTGAGATCCTGGGTTCGATTCCTCAGCACCACATAAGCAAAAAGAAAAAAAAGCCAGAAGTGGCACCGTGGCTCAAGTGGTAGAGCGCTAGCCTTGAGCTGAAGAGCTGAGGGACAGCGCCCAGACCCAGAGGTCAGGCTCCACGACTGGACCCAAAAAAAAAAAAAAAGAAAGGAAGGAAGAAAGAAAGAAACATTCAGGCTCATACAAGTAGCCCACAGTGGCTAAATGATGGCTTCATATAACCACATTGTCTGAGAATGATATGACCATTGTCTGAGGATGTTTGCTTTTTTGATGGTATTTGAAATTGAAGCAGCTACTCCGGGAGAGGAGAAGAAAGTGTTAGATATCTGAATCACTACACCTAACAATCAGGTTTTGTCATTTCAAAGTAATGACCTAACCAACTTGCCATATAATTAAATGCATCCTAACAGCTTCTCTTGTTTTTTTTTTCATTCATCTCTTGGTGATCATGTGAAGACTTCAATGGGAAATCTATGAACAATTTACTAAATATAAAATGACTGCACATGCCCACAAAGACCCTGTGCTGGGCTCTATGGAGCTTAACCAGTAGCTTCTGGACTACACAGGAAAGCACAGATGCTGGGTGTCAGCATAAGATGCTAATTTACTAGACGGCAAGCTGCAAACCTAGGCAAGGATGGAAAACTCAGAAATTCAAAGCTCTGGATGATTTCTGCATATAAGAATCTGAGAAAAACACAGTGGCATGCAAATTTTCCGTTTCAACCCTTCACCAAGGTTGACATTCATGGCTTGCGTTCCAGCAATCACAGGGAAGCAGGTCTGCCTTAGAGCTAACAGAGTAAGAAAAGATCTTCCAATTCTGGCATTCAGGTTTTCACCTGCTCTCTGTCATAATAACCACAGTACTGAATACCACACTGGTAAGGGGAGCACATTCAGAGAGTCTTCCATATTAAAGATTTTTGTGCAGAAAGATAACTCTTTCCAATGTTCATAAAAGAATAATAATGACTATGACTTGATACAACCTTTCTGAGCTGGCATGCACATTCTCTGACAAACGAGGATCTTTGAACAACTCCCATGATCAAGTTTTGCAAGCAAACTTGCAGCCTAGGAACACTGGCCACGGATACTGGCACTGAAGGAAACAGAATATCACCTCACCATTGGCTGGGTTCTTTTTGAAGTTGTCCAGGAATTCCTCCAGCAGCTGGGACTGGTGGGAAGAGGGTAGCAGGGCCTTCTGGTCCCTGGAGCACAGGTCACCATCCGACCAGGAAGTGCACAGGGTTGCTTTTGTGTCCAGAGGTCGGGCGATCAGGGTGAGCCCGACACTCTTCTCAGAAAACAGGGCCTCCATCTGCTTCAAGTCAAGTTCAGACACCGATTCTCCATTTAAGGTCATGATTTCATTGCCCTTTCTCAGCCCTGAGAACAAAGAAGGGGAAACAGGAAGAGAAAAGGGAGAAAGATTACTGTGAGAAATATTTTAAGATGAAGCAAGGCTTCAAACCCAAGGCTTCAAACCCAAACTCATACCCCCTCAGGTCTGTATATTATTTCCATGCCTCTCATAGCAACACAAATGTTAGTTCTTCCTGAGCTAGAATTAGAGAGACTAGCTTTTAACAGGCAACCATTTGGGGAGCTACTTGTTAAATTGTTCTTCCAGGGTTCTGATGTTAAACACCCCAGGGGAAAACATTTGTCTTATCTGTGTCTGTCTGTCAATCTCTCACACTCTCTTCCTTCCTCAATGTGATATACGTTTGTGTGTGTGCATGTGTCTGAGTATCTCTTTCTTTTTAAACACATACACCATACAAATGGTATCTTGCTATATATACACACACAAAATATGCGTTTTCAAGTAAACATTCTACTTTCTTTAAAATTCCAGAAGCCACTTCTTGACAACACTGTAAGAAGAAAATTTCATGCTGGGTACTAATGGCTCATGCTCATAATCCTAGCTACTCAAGAGGCTGAGATCGAGAATTGTGGTTCCAAAGAAGGGGAAACGGGGGAGGGGGGGAAGAGGGAAAGAAGTGAGGAGGGGAGGAGAGAAAATGAAAAGGGAGGAGAAGAGAAGGGAGAAAATAAGGAGGGGAGGGGAAGGAAACCACTAGGCAGACCACATGGCAGCATTTGAGATAAAGAGAGAACAAAGACTCAGTATTACACGGACCTCCCCCGTATGCCAAGCCATCAGGGAGAACATCACTTATAAATATCCGACTGAGGTGCTGGTGTTCATCCACCTGTGCTGTGACCGCAAACCCTACAAATGAAAGGAGAGAGCAGGTCTGAATTCACTTCACTCATTTCTCCAACCCAGTGACCAGCATTTCCTTCAATATGTATTCTCATAAATGTAGTATATCAAGAAGGTCTATATGATACTGATTGTGAAAGCACATATACCTAGCAGAGGCTGAAAAAGAACGGATCAGGGCTGGGAAGTTGGCTCAGTGGTAGAGTGTTTGCTTCACATGCATGAGGCTCTGGGTTCGATTCCTCAGCACCACACAAGCAGAAAAAAGCTGGAAGTGGTGCTGTGGCTCAAGTGGTAGAGTGCTCACTTTGAGCTGAAGAGCTGAGGGACAGCATAGTTCAGGGACAGAGTTCAGGCCCCATGACCAACAAAAATAAATAAACAAAATAAAAAGAACAAGTCAGACTGGGAGGTTGGAAGAAATAATGAGCACACAACTTTATTCAAAAGCTGCACTCACACGCTCATTCCTCAGCAGCAGTATTCACTCCAACCAACAGGTAGGAACAACCAGGTGTCAATCAAGGAAAAGATAAGCAAAACATGGTATGCATACACAATGGAACAGTACAGATGATCCTTGAGGAGGTCATGAATGCTAATGAAGTTGATCACAAAAAGACAAAACAGAATGATTCCACTCCTATGAGACAGCCAGGGGGAGGGGGCTGGAGGAGGGAAAAGAGGAGAGTTAATGCACAAGGAGTTCAGAGCTTCCATTCTGCAAGGGGAGGGGAGTTGAGGGGATGGCTGTGCCTGGATATGAATGCATTTAATATACAGAACAGTACACTTAAAAGTGGCTAAGATGACCAACTTTATGATATGTATATATGCATATATAAGTATATATACACATATATACATACATATATATGCTATCACATATATCATACATGATATATATATATATATATATATACATTTTTAAACTTTTTAAAGAAAGTCTGAGATAAACTAAATTCAGTTCAATACAGTAAATGCTTGTTGAGACACAATAGTTGGGGGGGAAGGGATTTAGGTACCTTCAGAAGGTGAAAACTCGCTGTGTGGAGACAGCACTTGCCCTGAAATGGCAACACATAGGTGCCCATCCCTCTTCTGATGGCATCTCCCTGACCTGAGGACCCTGTGTCCCCAGTCTCCCCTAACACCAGGAGTTCTATGAGGAGTACAAGTCTTGTTTCCCAATATCTCTAAGCATCCAGAACTCGGCAGACTGGGGTCATTAAGACTCTTAGCAAGTCTCTTCATTCCAATACACAGAAGGTACACAGCACAATCAGGCGAATCCAACCAATGGATCCAAACCAATGAATGGCTAAACGTGGTGAATATGACTATAATCTCAGCACTTGAGAAGCAGAGGCAGAAGGATCATTGAGTTCAAAGCCAGGGTGGGAGATACTATCTTTAAAAACACAAGCAAGAAACATAGCCACACATGGGCGGCTCATGCCTGTACGTCCAACTACTCAAAAGACTGAGATCTGAGGATCATAGTTCAAAAATAGCCCAGGCAGGAAAGTCCATGAAACTCTTATCTCCAATTAACTACCAAAATCCCAGAAGTAGAGCTGTGACTCAAATGCCTTGAGCACAAAAGCTCAGAGACAGCGTCCAGGCCCTGAGTTCAAGCCCCAAGACCAGCACAAAAAAAGAAAGAAAGAAAGAAAGAGAGAAAGAGAGAGAGAGAGAGAAAGAGAGAGAAGGAAGGAAGGAAGGAAGGAAGGAAGGAAGGAAGGAAGGAAGGAAGGAAGGAA